GTGTGATTTAAGTTGAGTGGGTTGGTAAGTGACTGATGAGAAAGGCTCCCCTTTCTTGGTCTTGGCTCTTCCATGTACTTTGAAGCTCAGCTGGGTAGGCTTTGTGAAGCGCCTGGGGGGGATTTTATTGTGTGTGCACTGAATTGCTATTGGGAGAGATCGAGCCTCTAGGAAAGTGTTTCTGCTGCCCACGGACCGGTGGTTGGTGGTTCTCTACGGGCATGGTTGGGTTCTTTGTGCCTTTTGCTTCTTGTGCTTCACAGACTGCACTTTCATTTTACAGCTGGAAGGGTTTGTGGCAGCCCTGTGTTGAGCAAACCTGACCACGCCATTTTCCCAACGGCATGTGCTCCTCTGTTGTCGCCGTGCCACGCCATGGTAATTCTCACGCTATTTCAAACTTCTTTCCAGCGATCTTGAAGACTGCCAAAGCAAACTCACTACCACCCAGCCGATGTTGACCCAGAGCAACGCTGCAGGACAGGGCAGAGCGGCCCTGTGGGTTTCGGAGAGCAGAGAGCCTTGTTTTTCTCCCAAGGAGTGAGTGGCTGGTGTTTCCAACTGCTGACTCCCGGAGAGCAGCCGACACCACAGGGGCTTCTATTACAAAGCATCGGGTGGTGTAAAAAGAACTTTGCTGTGCACTGGGAGATCAAAAATGTGTGTCGTTCACGGCATTGTGATGCCCAGCATACTGCAGGGGTCTGGATCGGAACCCAGTGTGCCTTCAAGGTGTGTGCCTGTATTTAGGTAGGTGGTTCGTGTCTCCCGAAAGGTTATCCTTAAAGATCTTAGTCTTTTTAGATTTGTTCTTCGTGCATTCTAGTTTGGTTTCCAATGACAATGGAGTATCTGAAGAGATTGCATTGTCTGCGGTAGCTTCTTTCTGCTATAAGAAATGCAATTGGTTTTGATGTATTGACTTTGCTGAACTTGTCTTAAAAGTTTTTTGAAGTTTTTGTAATTAATTTGTAGTCTTCAACCTCCCCATCATATTTCCTGAGAATAACGATAGTTTCATTTCTTCCTCTTCAATCTTTAGCTCTTTCTGTTGTTCTCCTGTGTTGGCTAGGACTGCTGGTATGAGGACTGACCTCATTCCTGACTTTAAAGATGATGCTTCTTGTGCTTCATCCTTGAGTTTGGTGTTTGTAGTGAGGGCTGGAGAACACACCTTTGCTAGGTTAGGACGCCTCCTTTATTTCTCGTACTTTTTAAAAAGTTTTTTTTTTATTATGATCGAGCCTTGAAGTTTGTCAAATGTTTTTTTTTGAAACAGTGATTCAGAGACATAACTTTTCTGCTTTGATCTATACGTACATGGTAGTTTGCTTTCCTAGTTCATAGGTTTAAGCCATCTTGCGGAGCCCTGGTGGCACAGTGGTTATGCTTCCGACTGACACCTGCAAGGTTGGCAGTTCGAAACCTCCAGCCCTCCAGAGGATAAAGAAGGACAGTCTCGGGAACTCCCTGGGGCAGGTCTGCCCTGTCCTGTCGGACCACTCTGAGTTATCATTGACTCAATGGCAATTTTTTTTGTTTGCGTTCCTAGGTTATCTCCTGTAAGGTAGTGATGCATGTGTCACCTTCATCATTGTGTTCACACAGTTGTTTTGATTTACTCTTGATATCCTCAGCTGCTGTGCTTGCCATTTCTCAAGTGTTCTGTGTCTCCTCCCTTATCAATTCCTTTTTCGTTTTTTTAAAGTACTTCGTGTGTGTGTGTGTGTGTGTGTGTGTGTGTGTGTGTGTGTGTGTGTTTCAGGAAAGGCTTGTTAGTGGTAAATTCTGTCTGGAAATGCCTTTATTTAATCCTTATTCTTGAATGATTTTCTTTTTAATTGGATTTAAAATTCTAGGTTGAATACTTTTCTTCACAGTAATTTGGAGATGTTACTCTGGCATTCTGGTAGTATTGCTGACTATTTCCTTTGTAGGTGATCTGTCCTTTTTTGTCCTGCGGGTCTTAAGATTTTCTCTTAGCTTTTGAGACTCGGTATTGTTCTCACCTCATGTGCTTATTTTATTTAAATGGATTCTGCGTAGGCTCAGTGGGGCTCCTTCACCGAAGGGCTCATATCTTTCATTAATTATGAAAAGTTCCCTGACATCCATCCATCCTCTCTTCTAGCGTTGCTTTACATCATTATGAGATTCTAATTCGAGGTACTTGGAAATGTCTTTTTCTGTTCTTGTCTTTTCTCCTGATTTCGATATCTCATCTATCTGTGCTCCTCTCTGGGTGATGTCCTCGGATACAGCTTCTAGGTTGGAAGTCCCTTTTCCGTCTGTCTCTAATCTGCTAATCCCAGCCGCTGGGCTTTTCATTCCAGTGACTAAACTTTCCCTTCTTTAATGTGGTTTTTTTCCTGGTTTGAATTTTGTATTTTCTGATACTGTCTTGTTTTATATTTCTGATTCCTTTTTTCCCCCCCAAAGTCAATAATCATTTTCAGTTTAAATAATGTTTGATGGTTCCTATCTGATAGTCTCAGTTGTGAGTTGTCGTCAGAAGACATTGTGTGACTGAGTTAAACATGTGAAAAATGCTAAAGTGACAAATGTTTTCTCATCTAGGTCACCGCAGTTAAAAAAGTTGAAATGGATCTGTCTTTCATCTTACGAATTTCTAAGTTTCTTTTTCAGAGTAATGGTTTTCTCTGTGCCTCCTGAGACAGACTTCTTAAAGCGCTGACATCTTTAGTCTCTGGCAAGATGGGATATGATTATCTACCTACCAAAAACCCACTCCTGCCATCGAGCTGAGTCTAGCCCGAGTCCTGGGGCAGTGTAAGCTATCTCTCCCAGACCCAGAGGCCGCCTCAGGTACACGTTCATGACACCTTACTTGAAAGGCCACAAAGGCTCAGCCCCCTGGCCGGCTGGGATTAAGGGCCTGCATCGTTTGCTTGCTCTGTGACCTTGCCAAGCCCTTCTGCTTCTCCGGGCTTCCGCTCTTTGAGGGGATGGCGTGAGGTGCCCTCTGGAGCCGTGTTTCCCATACTTGCCCCTTGAGGGGCGTGGGAATGATCGAGGCAGGGCTGCAAAAGCAGACACCTCTACTTCATCCTGGATTATGGCCTGTAGTAGAAAAGGTTGTCATTTCCAGCAGTTGCTGAGTAATTAAAAAAAAATTTTTTTTTCTCCTGAAAAGGGGGTGGTAGGTCATATAGTTTGGGAGCCTGTGGTCTGTAGTTGCTGCTTGGACTCCCGGGTCCCTTCACCTCCCTCTCAGACCCCAGACTCAAGTCCTCTGCCTTCACGGTGTAGGTGGACCACACTGACCCTCCCACCCACACTCACTTGGTTCTGATAGGCTGGGCTATGTGTGTGGGGTGTGTGTGGGGGGAGAGCTGCAGTGGAGGTGGCTACTGCTGCCATAACAACAGATATCCCCAGTTTGGGGGGTGCGGGGCCGGCTTAAAGAGCAGATGTGTATGTCTCCTGGCTTGGAGGCATCAGAAGTCCAAATTGATGTGTTGGCTCCAGGAGACAGATCCTTGTCAAGTTGACCCGGGCAGTTCTCTGCATGGGAACAGTGGTGAAGGAATCTTGGTAGCATAGTGCTGGTGAGGTGAGCTGCTGACCATAAAGTCAGCAGTTCAAAACCACCAGCCGCTCTGTGGGAGAAAGACAGGGCTTTCTACTCCCATAAAGAGTTACAGCTTTAGGGGAGCGGGGGCAGGGTCAAAAGAGGAGCTGATGCAGGTAATGTTTAGAAAATGGTGATGGCAGTGTAGATTGCTTGATATAATTTATGTACGGATTGTTATAAGAGCGGTAAGCACTCCCAATACAATTATCTTAAAAAAAAAAAAGAGGTCCAGCCTTGGAATCTCACAGGGCAGTTGTGCCGTGTCCTGTCGGGCGCTGTGAGCTGGCATCGACTCCATCGCAGGGTCTGCTTGTTTGGGTTTGCGACAGTGGTGACTGTTCTCTTGTGTTTGTCCTGCTTCTTCTTTTTTTGGAAGACACCCCTGAGAAGGGACTAGGATTCGCCTGTACCTGAATGGGCTGTGTCCTTATTAACATAACAAAAGAAGCCCAGAGGCATTTCCAGACCGGAATCCCATTGGAAGGGACTGGGATTAGTATTTCAAGAAGTGTTCTGCAGGGGCACACAGTTCAGTCAGTAAGGGGCTTGAAACACACACACACACACACACACACACACACACACGGATGACAAGCCAGCAATGCCTTGGGGGGCAAGGAGGTGTCTTATTTCATAAGGTGCTGAATGGAAGTGGATGGACGCTTGGGGGTGACACTCCAAGGCCTGGGTTTGAGTGCTGGGCTACGCTGTGCCTAATGGAAAAGGGGTGTTGTGTGTGGTGGGCAGAGGCCCCTTCGCCCATCTGCTCAGTGCCGAGGATGGAATGGGGAGGAGCTGGGGCTGTGTGGAGGGCTGTGGGAAGCCATACCTCCCTGGCAGTCCCGATCCAGGCGGTGTGCAAATACTCGTGAGCGCTGCCCTCTCCGGAGACCCCTGGGTGGAACACACAATGTGGGCTTGCTAACTGAGCAGTTATTGGTTCAAGCCCATCCTGAGGTGCTTTGAAAGGGAGCCCCGACAGTCTTTTTTTGTTTTAAGAAAGGGTCATTGAAAGCCTCCTGGGGTGCAACTGTCCTCTGCCACACGTGGTGTGTCCGCCTGAATGGAAGTTGACGGGGTGGCGAGGACTGTCATGGACAGAAATGTGCGGCTTGGGCGGTGTGAGCTCTACAAAGGGCCTGGGCGCGGCCGCCACTGTGGATGGCAGCCAGCAAGACACTGCTGCTGCCGCACTTCCAACCAGGGCTGCCCCAGCCTCAGTGAAGGAGCTGGGGCTGGGAGTGGGGTGGGGTGGGGTGGAGGAGGACCTGCCCTGTGTTTCCCTTCTCCTTGCCCGATACCCGTTCACTGCCAGAGCCCTGCTGGCATCTGGTCCCTGTCACGTCTCTCTCAGCCTCGTCTGGGACACATGGGTTCTCAGAGCCGAGATCACAGTGACCAGGCCATGACGGTCATTGGTGGGACATGTCCTACAGCGAGGCAGTGACCTGCTGGAGATCTCAAAGCTCTTGACTTCTAGACCTTTCTGTTCGCCCCCGAAGGGAGTCCCTCGCCTTTCCCACGATGCCCCTGTGCTGCGGGTGGCCAGGCCAGGAAGAATGGCACACGGAGGCCCGCACTGATCCTCCGCTTCCCCTCAGTGCTGTGGTTTCTGCCCTCGCAGGTCCAACGGGCGCCCCTCCAAGCGGAGCCTTGGAGGGCAAGGCCGGCACCATTACCTCCAACGAGTGGGGCTCTCCTAACTCCCCTGAGGGGAGCAACGTCTCTGGGGGCAGCCAGGCCTTGGACAAGCCCATCGACAATGACGCAGAGGGCGTGTGGAGCCCGGACATCGAGCAGAGCTTCCAGGAGGCCCTGGCCATCTACCCTCCCTGCGGCCGCCGCAAGATCATCCTATCAGACGAGGGCAAGATGTACGGTAAGGAACCCGCCTGGGCTGGGCCGCTGACCCCTGGGCTGACACAGTCTCGCCGGAACATGGGGGAGAGAGGGGGGTGCTCCACGTAGTAACCCGGACACTTCCTCCAAGCCCTGAGCTCTTGAGCTTCTTCCAGGTGGACACCACGTCCTCCTTTCCTGGGGGGGAGCCTCTGAGTGCGTGTGGAGGGTGGACACAGGGGGCTGAGAAGCCGTGGCGGTGGAAACCACATGGGAAAAGGACTGAGTGGGGTAGACTGTGTCTCACGAGCAGCAGCCTGGGAACGAACACTCACGCGTCCCTCACGGCAAACGCCGCTCCTCGAGTAGCTGCCCACGTCGCTGCGGAGGATGTTAGGGACTGGGGACAGTCCCTCGTTCCTCTCTCAGTCACCCCTCGGTCATCCTTGGCACACCTGCCGGGTCACTGAGCCCCTAGAGCTGAGTTGGCGCAAAGGTGAACAGATCTGCATCTCTACGAGAAGGCAGGCTGGGGGGTGACCCCGGAGAAAGGGAAGCAAAGTATCATGGGACGTGCTCTCAGGAGAGGCCCTTGCAGCTGGGCGTGAGCATGAAAGGCCACAGGGGTGGCCTGGGACCCAGAACACCGTTGTGTCCAAGTGCCCTGTGTGCAAAGGAGCCAGCACCTGGGCAAACTGCTGGAGGCAAGAGAAGGGTATCCAGAGAAGTGAGCACCCAAACCAGCCAGCTGTGTGAAGGCCTGGTCAGGCCTCTTGACAGGGTCCTGGAACTGACTAAAGAGTCTGTGGCAAGAGAGGTTCCCGGGGAGATGGTCCCAGCGTCCACGGTCTGCTCAAACCTTCCTCCTGCTCCCGCTGGCTCCTTACTTTCAGCACAAGGAAGAGAGCTGATATGTCCGGGACGCCTGTTGGGTGTCAGGGGTGGTGGTGGGTACCCCCGTTTATTTGCCGAGGACTCGGGGTCTCCGCAGGCCCTCAGATCCCGAGTGTGGGTGTGCAGGTGAGGAAGGCAGGAGGACACTGTGTGAAGGGTGGGGTGCTGCGCAGGGGCAGCCGGGCTGGGAATAGGTGTTCGAGCGCTGAGGGCACTCGCTGCAGGTGCCTGAGCTGTCCCCGTGTGAATCGGGGGAAGGTGTATAACAAGGAGCTATTTCTATCCCTGCTGCACATAGAAAGATACCGGGGCTGGAACTTGTCTGGTCACACCGATGACGTGGCAGATCAGACAAGGAAATGCACCGCTGTGGATTCTGGCAGGACTTGGGCCAAACTTCTGCTTGGCATGAGGGGAGCCATGGAATGAATAGGGGCCACAGGGTGTAAATGGTGTCAGCCCTGGTCATGCCGGCATGGGTCCTGTCCCCTGTAATGGGAAGCAGGAGAAGAAAGGGCAGGGAGATCCCTTGGGAGGGAGAGCCAGGAGACATTTTAAAAAAAACTAATCAGACACATCACTATTGGTAGATTCTGACTCATACCGACTCTAGGAGAAACCAGAGGTGCCCCTGTGGGTTTCTGATGCTGCCAGTCTTTTTTTATATAGAATTCGTTTTATTGGGGGCCTTTACAGTTCTTCTAACAATCCATACATCTAGTGTATCAAGCACATTGGTACCTACCTATGTTGCCATCATCATTTTCAATCTACTTGAGCCCTTAGTATCAGCTCCTCTTTTTTCCTCCCTCCCCCACCCTCTCACCCTCCTGAACCCTTGATAAATTGTAAATTATTATAGCTTTCATATCTTACACCATCTGCTGTCTCCCTTCACTCACATTTCTGTTGTTCGTCCCCCTCGGGCAGGCGTTATATGTCGATCTTGTGGTCAGTTCCCAAGGTTGTCAGTCTTATGGGGATAAACAGCCTCATCTTTTTCCCTCTGAGCTGCTGGTGGGTTTGAACTGGCAACCTTGTGGATAGCAGGCCAACAGATTAAGGCCATTGGCCTCCATTGTCTCCAGCTCCAGCCCACCAGGGTGAGGCATTATCGTCTGTCTTCCTCCGAGGGAGTTCAGTAAGTGGGGTAGTGGGGCTAGAGCTGGACTCTGCCGCTTTCATACCAGTGCACCCACCATCACCCCGCATAAGACTGTACAGCCTGCTCCCCTCTCTCCCTGCCTCTCCTCTTGGCCTCAGCCCCTGCTGGGTGGGGCTCTGAGCAGGGGCCTGGAGGCTGCGCTGGTGTCTGGTGATGACCCACCCCACACCCCTCTCTGAGCACAGAGCCTGCTGGGCACCTCCCATCTCTTCTTACCAGTCCTGAGGGCTGAGCAAGGCAGGACTGCACATGGGGGTGGCGAGGGGCTCTCGGACGCCTGGCCAGCCTAGCAGGGAGACACAGAGCACACTGAGCTCACCCCGGGGCATGCAAGAAGGGCACACTGACTTACTGGATCCTGGCTCTTCTGCCCTCTCATCTTCCCCTTCTTTGTGCCTCACCCCATCCTCAGCCCCAGGAGCCGTTGTCTTGTCGCCCCCACCCTCTCCGCAGCCGGAGCCCACCCTTCCGGCTCCCGGACTGGCCCGGTGGGACCCTGGGTGCGGGGAAGACAAGCAGATGGGAGCAGACCTCAGGCAGGAGATGTGTCAAGAGCAAGCTTTGAGACCCGGGACCTGGCCTTGGCTCTCTGAAGACAGGGATTAGGCCTTCTCCCAGGCCACGCCACGCCACGCCCCAGCAGGACACGCCAATCAGGGCCAGGCAGACACGCAGATCTACACAGCAGATTAGCACCTATTAGTTCTGAGCTGAGCCTTTCACCCTCCTTGGCCTGGGCCACCCTCCCCCTGAGCACTGTCTCCTCTCCTCTCCTCTGCCGGCACCCGCGCCTGGGGCTGCTAGCCTTCTCCTGCCACTGCTCTTGCCACAGCGGCACCCCTGCTTCCATTTGTGCCCCATCACTGTGTTTCTCTCACCCTGGCACCGTGCTGGTCACGCTGACCTCCTTCAGCCAGGCTGGATGCTGGCCCCGTGGGCAGGTGGTGCAGAGATGGGGGCGGGTAGCGGCTGCTGCCTTCCCCTGCCCTCACTGCCCAGCACTGGCCCGTGGCTGGGCACGGTCTTCCCAGGTCTTCCTCTGGGTGTGGGTGCCTCTCTCTTCCCTGGGCTCCTGCCCTAGGGGTTGATCCCCAATTTTATGAGGCTCTCTGCCTCTGCTTCTCTGCCCTGGTCAGCGCACAGCCTTGGAAACCCTTCGGGAGGGAGGTCTACTTGTCCTAGAAGATTGTTCTGCATCCAGTTTGACTCGAAGCCATTGGTGTAGACTTGGGTCTCTCACTGGCCTGGACCAGCCGAGGATGTTGCAGGCCGCGCAGTCTTATGGGCGGAAGCAGGAGAAATGTCTCTGAAAAGGTCACCAGCCTTCCAAGTTCCCTGAGCTTGTAGCCAACCAACCAGTGGGCGAGACGACCCTGGAGGCTTTCCTGAAGAAGGTAGACGCCCCAGGCAGGGGGCGAGAATTGGAGCAGGGGCCCAGGGCGGGAGTTTGCATGGGAGGGGGGCTGGTTGTGCTCTGTCTCATGCACACGCTCCACGTCTCCTGTTCGCCTCTTTTCTGACGTGTTATCACCGTGGCCACGCACGTCTCACAGAGTTCACGGTCATCGGGCTCACTGTGGAAGTGACAGCTTACAGGTGATGGCAGGAGAGAAACGCTCAGGATGTACAGAAGTTTTTCAGGGCTGGTGATAAAAGACACTCAGGTCAAGCTCTGTGGATGAGCCAGTTTAGCTCCCAGAGGCACCCCACTCCACAAGCCAGCCTCCTGCCCCAAAGCACTCAGCGTTACTTGCTCTGGGGGCTGGGAAGCCCACCACCTTGCCTCGTGCTCTGGCTCTTGGTTCTGCTGCGGCTGCTGCTCCAATGTCCCAGCTGTCTTCTGGATCCGGGAGGTGACCCTGTGTGCTGGGATCTTCAGGTCCAGAAGATGCACTTCACTCCTGGCTCTGGCTGGTTGCAACATCCCCCACGCCCCCACCTCTTGTGTCTGAGGACTCATTTTATACCCAGCTGAATGGCACTCCCAGTGTAGCCTCTGGAATCCTCCGAGGGGAATCCTATCAGGGCCTGCCCCCACCTTCTCACCTAGATGCAGGCAGGAAGGGGGAGTTTTCTGAGACGAGACGTAGGCTAGAAGAGTCACATTAAGTAGTTCGCTGTCCCTGCTCCAGTGGAGAATCGGGGTCAGGCAGCGCCACTGAGAACATCAGAGGATAAGGGTCCCCCCACTGCGTGCACGAGGAAACAGCCCCAGACAGACTCACACAGCTGGGAAGTGGCAGGTTGGGAAGAGACATTGGGCCAAGGTTCTTTGCACTTAGGTGATAGGGTAGTGATCAGGGAGCCTTCTCTCGGCTTCTCCCGCCCCCTGCTTCCTGGTCAGGGCATTGCCCCTTGAGTCGTCCGCTCCTTGGCTTTGTCACCAACTGTGCCCTCCCTCTCAGGGCCTAATACCCCCGCTTTCTGATTCTGATGCACAACGCCCATCTGGGAATGATATGACCTGCAGGGGTGGGACACGTTACTTAACTTTCTGAGCTTTCGTGCCTACATAAGAGTAGGGTCCTTAGGAGGTGCCAGCTACGAAGCGCTTGACTACTGGCTAACGGGCTAGCGGTTCAAACCCACTGAGAGGTATCTGGCGATCGGTGTCCGAAAGGTCCCAGCCTGAAAAACCCTAGGGAGCCCGTTCTGCTCTGTCCACGTAGGATTGCCACCATGACTCCCTGGCACTTAGCCACCGCTGCCACCGTTGAGGGATGCTGTGGAGTTAAGGACACATCACAGCTGCTACATACACAGCACCAGGGGGTATACAGATGAATCAGTCATGCCTCCGGCTCGCAGTTCAAGTGACTCTACCCAAGGACCATGAGACAGGTCCACTAGCACGTGGGCGTGGAGTGAGCACGCCCATTTGGGTGGGGATCAGAGATGGCTGTGGGCCATGGCTTGACAGGATTTCAGCCCTCCAAGGACAGTGGTGGTACCAGCTACAGCCTTCTCACACACGCCTGTGC